GAGCTGCCAGAGTACCTCCATAGTATCTTCTGGGTATAAGGTTTTTCCAGCGGTTTTTGTTTTCATGTGCTAATGTCATTAGCATGTGCCTGCCATCCTCATGGTCACAATATGGCTGCTCTAGTTTCAGGCTTCTGTCTGCATTCCAGGCAAAAATAAAAATAAAAGAAGAAGGAAAGAAAGAAGTGACATGGAAAGAGGAGCCATGTCTTTTTTGGAAAAGCAAAACTTACCCAGAAATCCCTGACAGACTTCTGTTCCTGCTTCATGGGTTATAACTGGGTTACTCAGTCCTAGCAACAAGAGAGGCTGAGATAGAAAATGTTTCAGTTGGGCACATTGTGTACCTGAACCAAATCAGGGTTATGCCAGGAAAGAAGAAAAATAAAAGAAACACAGAGTAAACAACAAGTTCTGTCTGCCACAACAGTGTTCCACTTTTATTTACATTTGCCTCGTAAGACCCATTCTGGATCAATTTCTGTCCTTAGTTTTTCATACATAATTATGTTAGCCATTTTACCAACTACAGAAAATAAATTATCATTAGCCAAAAGCAGTGAAAGCAAAACCAGTCAAGTTGAGTCATCTATATTAGTATTTAACACACTGCAAATTCCTAGTAGGGAAATTTCAAGATCACTTTTTGGCTCAAACTTAAACCTGCTGCTTACCCACCTACATTTTCATATATGCTTTAGAAGGCAAGTCTCCTTTCCCTTCTTTCTCTGCTCTCCCACCCTTCTCCCTGGGAGTCAGAGCTACACAGCTACCTTTAATCAAGGGCGTAAATGGTATCCTTCAGGACCGTTGGGAAGGACAAGGCTAATCATTTCATCTGTAATTAAAAAGAAAATACCAGTAAAGAGAGTGTAATAAATACAATTTAACACAGTGGTCATTTTAATTGTATTCTTCTATTAATAAAATATTTCTATCATGCCCTCCCTATATGTATAAATTTATATATATATTATATATAGTTCATATATATATTTTACATGTGTATTTATATATAAATTTTACACACACACACACACACACACACACACACACACACACACCACCTATCCATTTACTCTATCAGCCTTTACCTATTTCTTTTAATGTGACTTAGCCTTCCACTACATCACATGTGGTCTCATCCTTCAAGTGTCCTACCCTCAGTACTTGCCTCAGTCTTAACCGTTCCTTGTCTGCTGCTTTGGGAAGAAGCATCCTACTCTCTTCACCTTGTTCTTATGCTGTTAATCCCATCCTCATTTACTTCCTCTAATGCCTTGCTCTATCAGATATTCCTTAGTTTCTTCCTCTTTACTGGCTCTTTCCCATCATCCTGTAAACATGCTCAAGTTTCATTAAGCATTCTTTTGCCTCTGCATCCTCGTGAAGCTTGTCTTGCTTTCTGTCCCATCTTTCCTTGTCAGCCTCCCCACTCCCCCTTCACCTCAGGGCATTCTGCATTCTGCCTTCCATCTGAACCACCTTGCTTTAATCCGAAGTCACACTTCCTTCTTTTTATTCCTCTTTGCATTATTTGACACACACATTCTCTCCCTGACCACTGTCTCCCAGTGTGTTCTGTAAGCTACGGTTCTTCCATTTCTACTTAAATGTAGGTCTTCCCCAGGTTTCCACCTTATCCTTTTTCGTGGTATATCCTCTTTGCCTGTGTGATCTTATCACCTTGTAAGGCTTCAGCTCTTCTCTTTACCATTCTGATTACTTCCAAACTCATATATACTGCCCTGACCTCTTTTCTGATTCTTGAGTTGTATTTCCAATTATCTGCTAAATATCTCTTCCTGAATAATTCACTGGTACTCAAAATATAACATGATTAAAGCCAAATCATTTTGTTTAATCCCCAAAACTCTATCTACTTCTTCAGTAGTTGTCATTCTCCCAGTTTTTCGCATTAGAAGTTTCAAAGTCTCTTCCATCCATCACCACCTCTGTCCCTTTTAATTCTAAAATACTCTCATCTTCCCAGTTTTCAGTGCTACCCACCCTAGGAGAGCAGCCTTACATAGCAGAATAAAAAATACATCTTAAAGCAGCATTATATAGCAGACTGGGGAGCAGGAGGGACCTGAGTTCAGATCCCAGTACTGCCACTTACTAGCTATGTGACCTGGGATGTGTTGTTTAACTTTTCTTATCACTAAGTTGGGGGATAACAGAAGCCACCTCTTAGGCTCATTGTCAGGATTTACTAAAGTAAAACACACAATGTAAAAGCCCTGCCTAGGCTATTAAGTTAGATTCCTAACAAATCTACCTGCCTTGGGTTTCTCCTCTACTACATCTTACACACTGCCACTAGAGTTTCTGAAATACAATGGAATCATTTATTTTCCTGTGTCAAAAGTCTCTGGTAGTTTTCCTTGTTACTTCAAGAAACATTGAAACACCTTTGTCTTAGTTATATCAGCGAAGTAATCATACACTTTGTCATAGAAATCAGGACACTCTAGAGAGTGAAGGGAGACATTAACTGAACAAGATTCCAGGACAACAGCTATAAACTGGGACTGTCCTGGGAAAGTGGGATGAATGGTCATGAATGCATATGATATTCTTTACAGCACACCCCCAGCCTCATCTGTTGACATACCACACTGCTCATCATTCCCAAAGCACAAGTCTAGAATACCTAGAATACCCTCTCTCTCCTCTTGAAAATAAAGGTATCTGTACCTCACTCCTGCAGAATTAATCCCTCTTATATGGATTATAATACTTTCCACATATCTATAATGTAGTGTTTGCCATGTTATAAACATAAGTGAACTCTTCCTCTCTCACTGACTTGTGAGCTTCTAGGGCCAGTCTCACTTGTCTTTAAATCCCCAGGTACTTGCATAATACACGGGATCTAGTTTGTACTTGGTAAATGTGTACTGAATTAATAAATGAATTTGTTGGTTTGCCTTAGACCGTCCACATGTGAATAATTCAAAACCTTCTTTTTTTTTAATCTAGTCCTTGCCTTGTTCCATAAAAGAATTTCTTACAAGAATATATTATATAATAGCATAAAAGTGGATTTTCTTGGGGCACCTGGGTGGCTCAGCCAGTTAAGCGTCTGAGTCTTGATTTCAGCTCAGGTCATGATCTCTCAGTTTGTGCGATCTCACGGTTTGTGAAATTGAGCCCCTGGTTGGGATTTTCTCTCTCTCTCTCTCTCTCTCTCCCCCTTCCCCTCTCTCTCTCTCTCTCTCCCCCTTCCCCTCTCTCTCTCCCTTCCTCTCTCTCTCTCAGAATAAATATATAAACTAAAAAAGAGTGGATTTTCTTTTTTTCTTTTTTCATTTTATTTATGCCTATTGCACCCTTTGATGATGATGTTTCTTAACCTAATGTTTGTTATTTTTTTAGCCACAGTCCCCATTTCCCTATTCACCTTCCCACTGGCCATGAGATCCAGTTCTAACATGAAAGTAGAAGTCTTTTTGGGGACAAAAGCTTTTCTGATATTTAAAAAAAAAAAGAATAGATTTGGTTGGCTCATTTATTCACTCTTCTTCCATTATCACTGTTTTTTCTTCATTGCAATGTAAAAGTGGTACCTAGCAATGCAGCAGCCATCTGGCATCCGCGAGGATGAAACAACACACCAGGGCGGTGGAGTTGAAAGCTCGAGAAACCTGAGTCCCCAACAGCCTCTTTAAGCCAGTGAACCAGTCTTTGACTGGTAACTGCAGAATTTGTTGCATACTAAACAATAAGCACCTGTTGTTAGTTGGATTTTCTGCTTATTTGCAGCCAGACACATTCCTAACTGGTACATTCCTCAACCTAACTTCAAACATGTACCTTAAAAAATTTTTTAAGAAATTTTACTAATTTTTTAAAGAGTATTATCTGTCTTAAGATTAAAATAAATACACTCACTGTTTTTCTATCTGATACAGGTACAAAGTTGTCTTTCCTAACATATCCTGTCATTTGAAATAATAACTTTACATGTTGATCAGTAATGTTAATGTATAACACTACCAAAAAAAAAGAACTTTTGTTTTAAAACGCAAGTTTTCAGATGAGGCATTATTTTATTAGCACATATCTAATACACAGTAAGGTCACTCCATTTTACTTTTTGCTAAACTAATTTTTTTAAAAAGAGATCTTAACAATTTAAGACTAAAGCACTCCATTTTCTACACTGTAAGCATGCAAAGTAAAGAGAAAATATTACTTCTCTATTCTGTAAGTTGCGTGAAGTGTTCCTCTGGTAGTAGTGGGTATGTGTACCCTTGATGCTCACCTGTTTTTAAAATTCTACATTATGGGGCGCCTGGGTGGCGCAGTCGGTTAAGCGTCCGACTTCAGCCAGGTCACGATCTCGCGGTCCGTGAGTTCGAGCCCCGCGTTGGGCTCTGGGCTGATGGCTCAGAGCCTGGAGCCTGTTTCCGATTCTGTGTCTCCCTCTCTCTCTGCCCCTCCCCCGTTCATGCTCTGTCTCTCTCTGTCCCAAAAATAAACGCTGAAAAAAAAAATTAAAAAAAACAACACATTTTTTTACAAAAATATGCAGTTATTGTAAATACACCATTTAATGTAGAATTTTATTTTTTATTTAAAAAATTTTTTTTTCAACGTTTATTTATTTTTGGGACAGAGAGAGACAGAGCATGAACGGGGGAGGGGCAGAGAGAGAGGGAGACACAGAATCAGAAACAGGCTCCAGGCTCTGAGCCATCAGCCCAGAGCCCGACGCGGGGCTTGAACTCACGGACCGCGAGATCGTGACCTGGCTGAAGTCGGACGCTTAACCGACTGCGCCACCCAGGCGCCCCAAAAAATGTGTTTTCTAATTGAGGTAACATATATTTCTCTGAAAATAGTGTTGAGAAAATTTTAGCTCTGCTAGTTAAGCCAAGAAGATCTTATACTTTACATGGTGGCATATCCTTTAATTACTTCTATTTAAGTGCATAATATTAAAGAGAATGTTTATTAAGCAATTGGTCAGCTTTGATGTGTTTTTCTCTTAGTACCAAGGATGATTGCTTCAATGTTAATATTCAGCCACCTGTTGGAGAGCTGCTTTTACCTGTGGCCATGTCAGAGAAAGATTTTAAGAAAGAGCAAGGTGAGAGATTACTACAGTTTACTAGAAATTGCCATCCCAAATAATATGTGCTCATTCTTCTGGCTGGTCTCTGAAATAAATTACCACATGTACATAGCCATTAACAGATGTCAGTGCGTAATCTTTTGGTTTTTGCTAATCCTTTTCTTCTGTAAAGTAACCTTGAAAGTATATGTTTGTCTACATCCCTGGCATACTTGAAAATTCATTAGTATGTCTTTAAAATAATAAATTGATTCTTAATTAACTTTTCACTTCTGGGAGTTGTAGGTTTGTCAACCTAATGATGTGCTCTTGTGTTTTGTGTTAGTGAAAATGTGAGGGATTTGAGACTTAGCGAAGTTCTACCACTATAAATGTTATGCCTCTGTATTTTCTTTCACTACGGAACTGTTTTTTGTGACCTACTAATGTATTTTTCCCTGCGCACATTGAAGTGCCTCACCCTTCAAGATAAAGTCCTAATTATAGCATTAAAATACCTCCATTTTCTTTTGACCTGATTCTGTAGTAAAGAAATGCTATGATGTCAGCCTGTATCAGAGCTGAAATATTTTAAAATATGGACCTAAATAGAAAATATTTTCGGCAGGATGAAAGTATTAATATGCTGTGCTTGCCCCAGAGTCCAGCATACCTACTAATAAAAATAAATTTTATTTTCTTCTATGAATAATAACTGTGGAAAATAAAACTGTGAGTTTATGTGTTTAATTAAAGATAATACAGAACTAGGGCGTATGTAAGCAGTATAGTCCGCAATTTCTTAAAGTTTATGTGAAGGTAGTCTATTTTTCTCTCTAGAGGGGTTATCATACGAAGATTCCTTCATCTTGAGGTCATTAAATCCTATCTGTCACGCTTCCAGAAAGTACTGGGCACGTACAAATATTTCTGTACCTAAGGAGACACACATGCTTCCTGGCACTTTATCATTAGAGTGCCGAAGATTTTTTTTTTTTTTTTTTTTTTTTTTTTTTTTTTTTTTTTTTTTTTTTTTTTTTTTTTTTGCTGTAAGCCATTGCAGTCCACAGTATTCAAATAACCTGTTGTAGAAGAATCTCACAAAGAAAATTTCATTCAAGACTGTAAATTAATAATAATCCTTTATTTTCTGCCTTATTTTTAAGTGATAAAAAAGAATGCCTAAATCCCTGTTTGCATTTGCTTTACTTGGAAGTTGATTATTGCTGTAGAAGAAAAACATCTTTGTGATTTTATGATTTTATTTTTCTGTTGACGAATTGATGCTTACATTTGCTATTCTTACCCTTTGCTGGCTAAAGCCTGCCTCTCTGCTTTACACCTGCCCAGCAGACCCAGGTGAGTGGCACACAAGTGACTGAATAAGGCTTTGGCACATCTACTGTTAAGGGGATATTCTTTTTTTGAAAAGTGCAGCTACAGTATATCTAAAGCAGCTGATTATCGTATACCTTTTCTATCCCTCAGCTTTGGTTTAGAATACTTGATATTTCGATGAAGTGTTCTGTGCCGTTCTGTGCTCTGCTGTGACCGAGGGATTTTTCCCTGACTAGCCATACAGAACCGTAAGCGCGTGAGAGAGGTGCTCTTGGAGAACAGCTGTGGTCCTCTGTGGACTTGTTGCCAAAATTCCTTTTTCTTCTGCCATTTTACTTCTATGGTTGTTGATTATTTTTCTGAATAAATCTGGCAGCTGTTTGCTATGTTTAATAGAGCAGAAAGGCTACTCTGAATAAAGCTATTTGAAAATTTGTTTATATGAAGTATTTGTAAATCCTTCTAAGTCTCTTGGCATTTCTGTATCATTCTTTCTGTCTTCCTGAATTCATTCTTTGATATGGGACTTGATGCTGGCAAATTTACCACAGCTTTAAAGAGTCTTTTCAATAGCATCTTTTTAGTTAGAGATTTCAGCTGGTTTGGTAATCGAGGTCTCAATTCTCAACTTTACACATTGTACTCGTTTTTTATGCTCCTCTAGGAAGACCTTAGCTTATTTCAACATATGATACATAGAAAGGACTCCCTAGCTGAAAAATCTTCAATCAAAATAAACATCTATTTCCTCACATTTTATCAGTGCAAACTTCTGGATGGTAAAATACCAGTAAATTTAAGTACCTGTGTGTGTCATTACACATGCGTACATGACATTATGTAATTTTTCTAATTTAAATAAAATGAACTTAGGTACTTAATATCTCATTTCACAGGGCATATATTTTAAGACTCAAGAAGTGCATTAAATGCATTAATGAGGATTTAACTAGAAAAATTATAAATAAAAAGCATGATGAATGCATTTCTATTTTTATACTAAACATCTATGTAATTTAAAAGTTTGTACACTATTAAATAATGCTTCTAACAGATTGTATATATTAGATTAATAATTTTTTTAACGAAAAGGTTTTATTTCTAATATAAAACCTGATCTGTCATTTTTCCTCAGTTGTTACATTTAGAGTTCCATGGCTAAACGTGCATGTTTATAAGGTTGGTCGTCAAAGTGCTGAAAGACAGAATGGTTTAGCCTATATATGGAAGTTACCTATAATATTCATAATAGGAACTCTAAACCAGAAGCATGATTTTTTTTTCATTGCTATGAGTTTTGAGCATTGCAGAGTTAATGATCTAGCTGTAGGATGATTTCAGTACTGTAAATAACTTGAGATCCTCTCTTAAAAATTTGGTTTCTTGAGACAGTTATAACTATTATAAGAGATGTAAGCTGGCTATTTATCCAAACTGCCTTCTCTTACTAATTTTCTTCGTATGAATTAAATAGGAAATCTAAAACTTGGGAAAAAAATTTAATTTTACTTTCTTATATTGTGTGGTCTACATTTTAGCAGTTAATGACAGCTGATTAACCTAAATTAAGTACTCTGTCCACTGCCTCTCCAAAATTTAGATAAATTCTAATGAAGCAACAAATAGTCTGACAGTTTTTAAATATTTTCCTGGTAACTTTACCTTTGTTATATATATATATATGCATGCTATATAGTATCTAATGTCTGTTTTTTAGAGGAGAAACTTTTAATGATACCTTGGCATATTTTTCTTTCTCGTTAATTTGAGAATACCTGATATATTTTCATTTAGAAAAATCTCTGGTTTAAGAAACCTAGAATGTTTACTTAATTTTATTATGATTTATGCATCCATCTTATGGTTTCCTAGCTAGCAAGATGCTAATTCTTTAAATGGTCAGACATTTACTATTTTCTGGCCCTTAACTACCACAAGCAATCATATTTGATGCCCCTTAATTAGAGCACCTTTTTTTCTTTCCAGGTTCTTTTTCCACCTCAGCAATCGAGACAATACATTTGCTTACCATGCTGCTCTCCTAAGTGTTCTTTTGCATGTAAATTAATCTTGATTCAGTTTACACTGTCATGCTGAGTGGTACAAATTGCCTATAACAATAAAACAGCATGAGTTAAAAATAAAGGGGGGTGGGAAGGCAGATTGAATGTGTGCCTTACTTGATAGGATGTTACTTTGCTTTATGCCAATACATTAGCTGACGATAATGAATCTTCTGTTCTGAAAAGCATGGTTTAGTTGATTTTTTAAATTTTACTTCAATGGAGCAGTACCTTGTCTTTTATAGACCAAGTTAGACAAACCATTAATGACAAGAGTGTTAAGGTTAAATATGAAGCAATGCATTCACTTCTCTGAGTGCTATCCATCTTTCCATTTACAGGAGCTTGACAAAAGTACTGGCTTTGTACAACATTTCCTTTAATTACATGCTGCGGGAAACAGGCTTTTAACATAAACATAGTTGCATTCATTTATTCAGCAGTTGCTCTTCAATAGAGCTTAATGGAGAAGGTTTAAATCCTAAATGAGTACACACATCTCTCAGCAGTGTTATGTCAGCAGCCACTGTGCTTTACTTAAAAGCAGTGTTTGACTGCTTGTGTAGTTTTTAAAGCTTTTGCCTAATATTGAAGTTAAACACTCTAAGACAGAACATAGTGTCCCCGAGTTTGAAAGTGGTTACTAAAAACTGCTCTTTGTTAAAAGCTTAGAAGTCGTTTTACAGTGTTAGGCTTTCGTGTCTTCGTGCTGCTCATCATAGGGGTTCTTTTAAATTTCAGGTTGCATTTGCAATAAATAACTAAATTAAATACATAGCCCTGGAGATTCGGGGCCTTTTGAAAACATAAAATCAGATTTCTCCATTTTCATAAATTTTGTCAACTATTGTGCACATACCAAATGTCTCAAAAGATCTTTGTTTTTACTGGATACCATTAGGTATCGGTGTCTTACATCACAGGTCCAAATAGATGGCATTTATTATAATTATTTTGGTTTTTTTTTTTTTTTTACCCAGGTACTAAATTTCAATATTTGTTCCAAGTGTTTGGTATGTTACTGAATTTGTTTACTGAACATTTTTACATGAGATTCTGACATTAATGGCATGTCATATGTTAACTCTGTATTACAGTTTTTGTTCCCGATCTTGCTTAACTTTGGTTTTTTTCTTAAAGATTCATTTAAAACGTCTCTAGAATTTAAGGTTCTCCATTCACATTTTCCCCTTCGTTTCTAAGCATTATGCTTCAGAAATTTCGATTGGTGTTTTTTAATTAACTCTATAGTTCCATTCACTAGGCAAGTACTGTTATCACTAAGTATAGCTGCTTAGATACGTGTACATTTTTTAGAACCACATAACTGTTCAATGACTTTCAGTCATTGCTGAGATAACTTTGACCCATCAGCTGAGGCCATTTGTCAGGTAATGTTGTTGCTAGTTATTCCAGACTCACTTTGATTTGTACTCAGGTAGCATTTGACAAGAGAGATCTCTGAATGAAAAGGAGAGGAATAAAAATTTTTAAAAAGTAAAAGCTTAAATAGTTGACGTAGTCCAAATTAATTGAGTATATTTTAAAGGGACTGAAATTGAATAAAATCTTTGTGATTCTGCATTTTTGTCTTAGGGTATTGAAAATCACATTTATTAAGAAGGATGTTCCACTGCATTTTTACATGCTCTTCTATACAATAAGGATTAAAAATTTTGTAAAACATTTGCAGTTATTTAATTCAGTGATAATTATCTTCAAAATTATATTCTGAAGTGGGTTTTTTAAGTTTTTAAATTTTGGCTATGAGCTTGAAATTGCTTTAATATAATTTTCGCAAATTAGTAAAAGGGAACCTTCTTTTGCTCTTACAGGAATGCTAACAGGAATGAATGAAACTTCTACTGTCATCATTGCTGCGCCACAGAATTTCACTCCTTCTGTGATCCTTCAGAAGGTTGTAAATGTAGCCAATGTAGGTGTAGTCCCTTCTGGCCAAGATCATATACACAGGTAGGTTCATCAACATGTGATGTGATCACTTGTGTGTATATATATATATATATATATATATATATATGTATAATAGACACGTATAAATGTATAATTTTAAGTTCATCATTTTCCTTGAAAATAATAATCCCTAAACATATATCTGACCCCCTCTCTTCGTTTCTTTTTAAGATTTTATTTAAGTAATCTCCCCACCCAATGTGGGGTTCAACCTTCAACCCTGAGGTCAAGAGTCACATACTCTACCCACTGAGCCGGCCAGGCGTCCCCCTCCCGTTGTTTCTAATGAGATATTTGATTGTTGGTTTGCGTTCAGGCTGTCTTTCCCATTTCATGCAATCCTTAGTACACTGGGATGTACTGTCCTGCAAGATAACAGTCACTGTACTCGCATTTTATAATAGTTTGGTGATTTGTAAAGGTACCTTTTGCAAGATACGATTGAAAATCTATCCTATTTCACCAGATACAGTGGATTTCCAGGAAGGCCTGTTTTACAAAGCAGTGGAGTTGGACTTTTTTACTTGAAATAGAGGAAGTTTGGGTACTGTGTTCAGAGTTCCTTTTTACATCAGTCCCATAAGGCTGCTTCCAGTAATAAGGAGCTGCTAAAAAACGGGCATAGAGCCAAATGCAGCTTCTATTTCTTAGACCAGGAATATCTTCACCACCGAGCATCTAAAGCATGACATCCAAGTCATTTGTCCTTAAAGGTAGAAGAGAATGTGATTAATGTGGTTGCCCTCCTTGCGATCTTCTGTGTGCAGTGGCTTGAATTAAAGTAAAGATAAAAATGATCCCCTTAAACCTGCAGTTGTTACTTCTCTGTTAGCTTAAAGGAATTCATTAATTCCATCTTTAATTCCTCTGCCATCCCACTGCCAATGGCATGCTTTTTCCTTTATATTTCTATATAGAAAAAAAATTTTTAATTGAAGAGAATGCCTTCAGATCTTAAAAAAAATTTTTTTGTAAGGGAGCCTGACTGGCTCAGTCAGTAGAGCATGCAACTCTTGATCTCAGGGTTATAAATTCTAGCCCATGTTGGGTATAGAGATTACTTTTAAATAAAATCTTAAAAAAAATTTTTTTTAATTAGTGCAGGGTAAGAGAGGTTTCTTACAGAGTGCTACAGTTGATCTGGGTTTTAGACTTCTCTCTGCCATTTTTGGGCTTGGTAGTCTGGGGCAAGTTATAACTTCTTCTTGCGGGCTTTAAGATCTTCATCTGTTTGGAAAGGGGTAGCATGAGACATTAATATGAAATTCTGTATTATCTATGGAAGAACATTGGTCTTGACTTCAGAAGAGCTGAGTTCAAGTCTTAACCTGCCATCATTTGAAGTTGCCTATCTTCATCTACTGATTGTGACAGTGAAGACCACATGTGCTAGTCAAAAAACCAAAGTTACCCTATTTTTTGTTTTGATTTTTATTTATTATTTTTTTAATGTTGATTTATTTTTGAGAGGGAGTGACAGAGTGTCACCAGGGGAGGGGCAGAGAGAGAGGGAGACACATAATCTGAAGCGGGCTCCAGGCTCTGAGCTGTCAGCAAAGAGCCTGCCGTGGAACTAGAACTCACGAACTGCAGGATCCTGACCTGAGCTAAAGTCGGACACTTAACCGACTGAGCCACCCAGGTGCCCCAGTTTTGTTTTGTTCTTAGAGAAAGTTCCTTAATTAAGTTCTTTAATAGGTCTGACGTTTCCATTTCTTAATTTCTGACAAGCCCTATCTCACACAGGGTGGTGATAAAATAATAAAATGGATATTAGGTCATCATACTGGTACCACTATGCATATACAACTTAACAGTGAAATGCTGTTCAGTAGGGGAAAAAGTGAACAGAAGCCTTTTCAATGAAAATATTCTGGTTCTGAGTTTTCCTGTTTTAATTGTTTTCTGCTTTATTTTTTTTTTAATGTTTATTTATTTTTGAGAGAGACCAAGCACGAGCAGGGGAGGGGCAGAGAAAGAGGGAGACACAGAATCCCGAAGCAGCCTCCAGGCTGTGAGCTGTCAGCACAGGGCCTGACGTGGGCTCGAACTCACAAACTGTGAGATCATGACCTCAGCCAAAGTCAGACGCTTAACCAACTGAGCCACCCAGACACCCCTGTTGTTTTCTGCTTTAAATACTTCTTTTTGCTCTTCTGGGTGATTTTCTTTAGCAGAAGTTGCTGTTTTATTTATGGATCCTTTGAATTACTGAAATTACTGAAACACCAAAATATCATACATCAACTATAACTTTTAGCTTATGCAGTACAAAATTATGATACTGACCATCTACTACCCAGCAAAACTTCAGTCTTGTTTTAATATGTTCTTCTATAATGTACAAAAAGACATATGGTAACCCTTGTTTATGTTGTAACTTCTACTTTATTTTTTGTTTTGTTTTGCATGTGGGTTAACTTTTCTGAAAACAATGGCAGGTTTCCAGAATTTAGTTTCTTAGAAGAAAACGGCCAAATTGCCTTCTGAAAGCCAACTAATATAAGAGCTACCTTCCTACTGGGAAACAGACTAAGAAAGACACTTAGCACAGTTGTGTAATTTTTATTAAAGCATAGTTTGCCTGTAACTTGTCTTGGTGGTTTGGAACTGAATGCCTGTTCAAGTGATTAAATTACAGACAATTCTCAATTATCTGTACTAATGCAGGGGAGACACGCAACTAAGAACCATTTATATCTGCCTTTGCAATGCAGAGATTGCGCTCAGACTTCATGTTCGTGGTCCTCACACACATCCACGATATCTTGACACTTTTCTAATCCAGCCGTGTGTGTTCTAATCCAGCAGGTGTGGTGTTTGGCTCTGTAACTTGGAGGAGGAGCCCAAGTTACTACCGGGTCAAAAATGAAAAAAACAATGTCTATATGTAATTAAGATTAGGTTGTTCTGTTTTCATTTGCCTCACAAGTCTCACTATATGTAATTGAAAATGTTTTGCATTTGCTCTTACAAAGTATGGCTATATTAATGTTCTAAATTTTAGAAATAATAAACACCTAGAGTTACTTGTATTTTTCATACACAAATTGTTAAAAATTATCATCCTGCATATGTAACATTTTTTGCCATTCTTTTGTACTCAGTAACAAAACAAAAATGAACAATTGTTAGTAAAATCAGTACCAGTGCCTTTCTTAATGTCATTTAAAGTGAAATAGCAATTACTGTTTATAACAGAAATTGACAGTTTACTTCTTCGTTGAGTTGTGTTCATGTTTTTAACTGTAGTGCTCAGTATCCTATTTTCCTGTGGAGTTAATGAGTTTATATATCTAAACATATATTATTTAATTGTTAATAAAATTGAACTCCCTGTGAGATTTTTGAGTAACTCCTTTATTCTTCTGTGATGGTTGCTTTTTTGAGTTAATGAAGAAGAGGACCAAAGCCATTCTTGTATTTACTAATGGTAATTGACTTACAATTGCTTTAAAAAAAAAAAAAAAAAGTATAAAAAGAATTTTAGAATAATTTATTCCCACTACTCTTAAAATTTGAATAGTTTTTACATTAAATGCCAAGTTAAAAAACACTTAATATAAGAAATATGAAAGAAAAAGGGAACCTTCATTAATATGCAGAAGTGTGTAATGGTGTAAAGTAGAAATTTTAATTGAATACATAGTAGAAAATGGTTCCTACATATCAACATAAAATGGCCTCCATTAAGAAAAAGTCAATTAAAGGAGCACAAGTTTTATGGAATTCATTTCAAAAACCAGGAGCATTTTTTATGTAATTAACTGCTTTTCAAGATCACTGAGAAAGTATATCTGCTGTTAGATTATATGACATTTACTTTTGATTTTCTAAATGAGCAATAATATCAGAAGGCCAACCAGTATACTATTGAAAGACTTAATTAACTTTATTTTCATTTCTGTGGTACTTGGTGACTGAAAAGGCTGCTCTTTGAGAGCAAAATCATCCCATTGAGATCTACAGAGTTATGGTCAACTCTCTTATTTTCCAGATTACAGTTATCAGATGAGAAGGAGTAATACAGAAATGAGAATTTTAAAAATCATCTATTAAATATAGAGTTGAATATCTTCATGTCCTGTTTTAGATAAAACAATATGCTTTAAGACTTTTACAATGCATAGAATATCAAAATATGTGATATTCTATGCATTGTAAAAGTCTTAAAGCATATTGTTTAAGACAGTATACTAATAAACTAACACATAAATAAAATATACAAAGGGCAGAATGAATAGCAGTAAAACAGTATAGGAATGGACTGCAAAAGGAAAATGTCAATATTTAATATGTTTAGGGTAGGAGAATTCGACTAGCATTGGGAACCCTAGGTATATCCAGGCCCAGGAAACATTTCTTGTGTTCCTCTGAGAAAGAAATCAGGTGAGGGTTTATGGCAGGTTTGAATTCAATAGTGTAGAAACTGAGGTGTGTTTGCTTTAATTACATTGCTTGTCCTCTGATAAAGATACTAATGTGCAGTGACCAAAAGGCAGAAAGGTAAAAATCCATAGCTCCAAAATCTTTAAGGTTTTCTGTACAAAAGAATTCTGTGGGGGGGTTGTGTAAAATTCAGATTCCTGAGAGCCACAGCCAGGGGCTCAGATTTGGTACTGTGAGGTATGGCCCAGGAATCTGTATTTTAACCAGTAGCCAAAGCGGTTATATGGCCAATAATGTTCCATAGTTTGCAGTTTGAGACTGCCTTGAATTATCAAGAGTTAATGACAGCCACATGACACATTTTAAAGTATATTATTCCTATGTTTATGCATTTTCTTTTTACAGATTAGTTATTAAGGGATGCTAATAGACAAGTTGTTTGATGTTGTTTTTCCTTACAGCTATGGCATTGTGCTCCAGCAAGAGCATATTGTTAATTATATCAGCGTATTACAGTCTCGTCTGTGAAACTGTCCTAGACCACAAGGAAAAGTTTGTCTTTCAGCACTCTCAGCCATTTCACATTTTAACCCAGTTTCCGGAGTTCTGAC